ATATGAACCAGAAAATGCTCCCCCAAACTTAATGTCTGTTTATATAGAGATAACTTACTAGTGTCACTAGAACTCGTTACTATGTGACATAATATTTACTACAATTTTAGCATATTTAGGAGCAAATAACACAAAAACATTTTTTCTGAAATCACAATTCTCAGAATTCCAGCCAGTTACAGTCCCATCACATCTAAAGGGGACCAAGTGGAGAAAGATGACATTCTAGTAATTCTAAATCTGTATGGTGTACTGGCCATGTTTCTTAAAGTGTGGTCCTAGGATCTGGGGGAATCCCCCAAGACCTTCTCAGGGGTCCACAAAAATCAAAATTATTTACCAGCCCATGTTGAAAAAATAATATAAAAATGCCTTCAAACAATCATGAGAAGCAGTAGAAGCAGCAAATTAATTTTTAATATTTAATATGGCAAATATTGATATAGACAAACTACACAAACAAAAGCTCTTTGGGGGTTCTCAATGATTTTTAAAAGATTTTTTAAAATCATTTTTTATTTTTTTTTATTTTTAAAAGGGTCCTAAAAGAAACAAAAAGGTTAAGAAATATTGGTATATTATTCTATCTGATGTTTGTGTAATAGACTTCCTCTGTGATGGCTGCCTCTGAAAAAGGCCCAGTTGAAATAATAATGGAAAATGGTGGCAGCCAAAACAGCTTGTTACGTTAAAACAACATGTAAACCTTTTTTATACAACCAGCTCAGACTAAAACCCTGTCCCAACAACTAGAAAAAAAAGTAACATTTTCTTCCCCAGTAATTTTCACCTTGTCTTTTTTAGTAATAAGTGGGAATTTGGGCCTCAAAAGATTACTGGTTTTTTGGGCTAGGTAGAAAAGTGATTTTAATCTTCCTGTGATCCAGTGCATTGATAATACTGTTGCCCTTCTGGGCAATAAACTTGCAACCTGGATTTTAACTCTTTAGACCTCTAGACTTCGGAAAAGTGTATATTTTTTCAGATATAGGCCTTGGAGACAAGGTGCTACCTTTTTGCACAATTAATTAACTATCCCTTTGCTATGGTAACTGGGGAATGCAGACCCACATTTTACTTCTGCTAAGTCCAAGAGAATAAAAGAGTCTTAATAACCTGCCTCATCCTCTTCATTGTGCCCATTCTATACCTGACTGGATGCAGCATGTCCAGTGTGCGACAGTTTTGCTGATGCTCATGTTACAAGCCTTCAGGATAAAGTCCTTTCCTGAACTGAACCCACAGCAATGTAGGTAGGGCATAAAAAAATAACAAACTCCTTTGCTATTTAGCCTGAACAAACCAATGGAGAATGAGCAGCATGAGCTCAGCTGGATAGGATTCTTTGAGGCTCACCTGCTTTAGCACCAGGTCAATACTAAGATACTTTGATAGTGGCGAGAGCCTGTGTGCATTTGCTTGGTTTTTGAAAGTGCTGTTTGTCCTTAAATTCATAAGAGTGGAAATATAAATTCAAACATTTAAAATGAAAATTTAGTAACTGATATACAGTAATCATTTGAAAAAAATAAAAATGTTTGTGGCTAAGCTGAAAGGTTATTTTGTCACGGGGAAAAGACATTTATCTCTTCCTCTCTCAGAAAAAGCAAGGCCCATAAGGGAACACTCAACTAGCATGAAGTCAAACCGTATTTTGCACATCACCTGGAGATTGAATCAGTCAGAAATTTTATAAACAAACAAACAGTTTATCTTGGACTTTGTTCCCCTCCAATCTTAAAATAGAACCAGGGTCATTTTAACAGTCTGAAAGACAACAGTGTTTGTTTGAATTCAAGCCTATTTCTTTTTGACTGCATCTTCTATCAATGTAAAATATTCATCCTTGGTTTTGATCTAAATCAATGGTTATTCAAATGTATCAGAAAACTCTGAAGAAATAGTTATTGGCATTAAGTTTTAACTAATTAACTTTGCCACCCCGAATGCTAAATGTTGATCCATCTGACCATACCAAATCCTGAACCATAGTTTGGACAGAGCTTCTTTCATGTGTGGCAGGATGTTTCAAACTGTGAGATGTACTTCACTTGGGAAAGTGCAGATCGAATCCAGGGGAGGTATGAAGAACCTTCTACATTGTTACAATAACTCCAAAGTTCCATTGTTTTCATTGTTCATTTGTGTTCATTTTGGTGTTTGTAGTTTTAGGGGAATTGTGTACATTAAGATTACACTAAAGGGAGGTGAGATGGCAAAAAGTTTAGGAACTCTGATAGATGGGATGAATTTCTTTGAATCATTTCTTTCCCCAGAAGGCCCTTACAAAGGAACAGATTAGGAGACAGCCAAGATTCAATGCCATCAGTGCAAGATAACCAAAACAAACATCCCAAGTGAGAAGTTACAGGAAGAAACAGGGTCTAAAGTGCAACTGGAGCTTTTGACAGATGGATAGATTTGGTTAAAAAAGGATAATTAGAAAACGTCATTTGTAGGATTTGGTGGCAGGTTTCATTTGTAGAATAAAATATCTCAGAATACAGGAAGTATTAAGTGAAACTATTAATAGGCTAGTTACACTAAATCACTTTAAATGGCTTATGAAGTTGTCTTGCTCTAGTATTCTCATGTATATATGCACTAGAGGAAGTTTGAATTTTGTGTAATGCTACCAACGTAATTTTCCTTGTTTATTAATATTTTGCATGTTTAAATAATACATCTAAAAAATCTCCGTAATGAGCTGTAAACAGACTATTTCAAACAAATACCAATGACACTGGTTAATGAATTTACAGGCGATACATCAGCTATGAGTCCTTTTCCTTCCTAATATTTTATAGCTGCAGTCTGAACATGATAATAGTGGGATTGAGAGAAGGACTGAGTATTTTTAAGTTTAGCTGGGTTGTGTTGGGGCTATTTCCAGTTGGTGTTTTGGGGGGAGAAGCAGTCTAGTCCAAGGCTCCTACTTTGTGGAGTTCCTCAGGGCACTCCTCTCTCCTGGACATCTAAATGAAGCCTCTCTGTACAGTCACTGTGCGAGTTGGGCAGCCACATACATTTGTTTAATAAATAAATAAAATGCAACATGCAGTATCATCAATAAACTGATGATACTCAATTGTACATCATTTCTCCTGGCTGTCCAAGTGCCTGAAAGCTGGAGGAGCCTGAATAGGGAAGAACAAGCTTTAGTCCAACTCTATGAGAACCAAGTAGCTTTGGGTATTGACCCCACATACCCCAGACCTTGAGAGAGTTCCTCCGAGTCTGAGTGGGGGTTGTACTGCCTTGCTCAGATGCGGTGTGCTATTTAGGGGCTCTCTTGGCTCACAGCTCTGGCATTAAGAGCAAAAGGCAGCTGTGGCCAGGGCAGCCTTGGCACGACTTTGTTTGATGAGTTACTTGCACCTGTTTTTCCAATGAAGAATATTTGTAACTCAGGGTTGAAATGAGGAGTCCTTGGTGCTCTCTGAGCTTGGTTGTTTTCTTGCTATCATATTTTTGGATTGTGGAGTCCTGCTCACAATCATTCATACCTTATTGATCGTCTGACTGGACTATTGCAACACTCTCTACATGGCACTGCTGTTGAAGACCACACAGAAGTTGCAATTGGTCCTGAATGTGGTGGTGCAGATAAGGCCTAGAGAGTCACATTATCTGAGATGGGCAGCCATATAACTTTCAAATAGATACATTACATTGCTTATCTAGTTTTGCCTTAGTATGAACCCATTTAATGTGGTTTATTCAGTAAGCTATGGTTAAGAAAACTTGGCATGCGGTACAAGCTCAGTCACAACAGTCTTCCCGGAACTTTCCCACATTCCCAGCTACTGATACTTATAAAGGCACATTACTTATGATGAATGGGAGATAGGCATACATTCTGGGAGTTGCAATGCCAATCTGGAAAGCACCAGGATGAGGAAGGCTGACCTTGGGCCAGTCATAATGTCTCAGCTGAACTTACCTCACAAGGTTGTTGTTGTTGTTATTGTGGGGAAAATAGGAGAAAGGAGGAATTTTAGATATGTTGAATTGTTTATAAAAACAATTTCCTTTAGAAAGCTCATCTCTTTCTAAAATTAAAACAACACTCCTCCTGGCAAGCATATGTGCAAGCTGGAGTAGTAGATCTTCTTGAATCTTCTTATTCACAATATTTAGCCATCCTTCTTACCTAGAGTAACTCCTTCTCTGTTAGCCTCTCGTAAATGGATTTAAACCAGAAGCATGATCTACTATGGTGAAGTTTTGCCCGTAACGCGAGTGAGTGTCAGCGCTTGGAACGGAGGTCACGGAAAGATTTCAAAGCTGCTCCGCAAATACAATGTATTGCTTTATAACGTTGAATAGGCCGATGAACGGAGGATACTGGATATTGGGCAGCTGAGTAGCGCAGCCTTTTCTAAGCGGAGCGCCCTACAAGCAAGCTGCCAGTTCTTCATTCGACGGGCAGAATCTTCCCTTAAAATGCTCTAAAGCAAGCGGGATATTCTTTGACCGGGGAGAGCAAAGTCCCCCTGCTAAACTGTAACGCAGAAGGAGTTGATTGTCAGCGCCCGGGAGATAAGAGGCAAAGGGATCTTGCGAATACCAGATCACTCAACTCAGCCGATCTCCACCGGCTCTCCCGCCTCCGTCCCAGGACCGAAGATGAAGAGAACCAGAATGTTTCCATAGAAATAAGGAAGCTCTCTGAGGGGGCGGGGCATCGAGGGCCAATCCACGTGCAGAGAGGCGTGGCGGGGCAGACCAGTGACTAATCCCCGTGCCGGATAGCGGAGTGGCGTCTCCGGGAGGGCGGGGCATAGTATCACGTGCCAAGGGCAGTTAGAAAAAGTTGCGAAAGAGTAGGAGAGCAAAGAGGGAGGCATGTGTGGTGGGGGGGGGGGAGCGCCTATAAAACGGGGATTAACAGGCGGAGAAGCAAAAGCGGTCGGTGCGTCAGCTTTAAGAAAGTCGTTGGAGACTCTGGTGGCGATTCTCTCCTTTAGTCCCCGGAGGCAGAACCCGCCAAGGCAGGCATGGGGTGTCTCGAGAAGCCCGACATGTTGCAGGAGGCGAAGCCGGAGCTGGTGGAAGCAGAGACTCCTAACGGGTCGATCCCGGCACTGGCGCCGGAGGTCCGCCTCACCTGGCGCCGGTGGGTGATCGTTCTGCTCTTCAGCTCCTACTCCTTCTGCAACGCGTTCCAGTGGATCCAGTACGGCAGCATCAACTTCATCTTTGCCGGGTTTTACGACGTGACTCCTTTCGCTATCGACTGGCTTTCCATGTGCTACATGGTGGTCTACATCCCCCTCCTGTTCCCTGTCGCCTGGCTCCTCGACCTGAAGGGGCTGCGGCTCATTGCCCTGGCCGGGTCCGCCCTCAATTGCTTGGGAGCCTGGGTGAAGACGGGCAGCGCGGAGCCCCATCTCTTCCCAGTCACGGTCCTGGGCCAGATCATCTGTTCCCTGGCGCAAGTCTTCATCCTGGGCATGCCGTCCCGCATCGCGTCCGTCTGGTTTGGCCCCCGAGAGGTCTCAAGTGCCTGCTCCATCGCTGTCTTTGGCAATCAGGTAGGAAACGAAATAGTCGGCTACAGAGGGATGTAAACAAAAGTCAGAGTTGCTTAGACTCGGGCAGAAAGAGAAAACCAAAAAGTCCTTGACTCTCTCGCTCACCCACCCTCCCTCCCCGAAAAATGTTTGCAGCTTGGAAAAGTCAGACAAAAAGCACACACACACACACACACACACACACACACACACACAAACCACATTCTTTAAATATTGTAGACTTGTGAGTGAAAGGTCTCTGTAGGCAGAGGCACTGGATCGGATCATCAGGGAATTGCAAGTATGCAAACTGGATTAGGACTTAATGAAAGCACCCCGACAAAGCCAAACCACCTGAGGCTGGGAATGGGATGGGGGAGAGAAAGCATGAACCCTCAGGAGAGGAATGTCCGTGAAGAAGACCTTGCAGGATGGAGATTGAGATCCCCTTGGGATTGGTGTTAAACTTCAAAAATGTGTACTAGAAACTTTCTTTGATAATGACATCGCTTTATAATGATGATGATCATGATGATTCTGTTGCTTTGCATGTACACTTAGTGCTTGTGTACTGGAGACAAATTCCTTGTGCGTCTAATCACACTTCGCCAAATAAAGTTCAATTCAATTCAATTGTGTCTTCTTCACAAATGCCTATACATGGAATGTGTTATATAAACATTTTCATTTTCTGAAAAGAGGGGGGGGGAAGGCCGATGTGATGTAATGATGATGGTGTTGGATTAGGAGCAGGGAGACCGGGCTTTTAGTTCACGCTCAGCCCTGGAACCTCCTTGGGCGCCTTTGGGTCATATAATCATTCTCAGCCCAATCTAACTTGCAAGATTGCTATTGTTGGGAAAAACGGGAGGAGGAAATGCTATATATGCCATCTTCAATTCCTGAAGGAAAGGAGGGATATCAGTCTAATAAATAATTAAATGTGATACAGACACCAAATGAATCAGTGTAGGAAAACTAATGAACAAGTAACCAAAGGGATCTTGTTTAAAATGGAAGTTTGACCAAAGGGATCTTGTTTAAAATGGAAGTTTGGGATGAGGAGTTTTAAAGGTTATAGGAATGTTAATATTTTAAAAACTGCACTTCAGTAGTGTTTGACTTATTTGATTGACCTAATTTTACAATTTTTTTTGCAGCAGTTGTTAAACAAAAGCAGCTATCATAAAGTGAACTCATTTTCCACAATGAGCAGTTTCTTTGTTGGAAACCAAAAGTAAATGCCGGTTTCCGGCCAAAAAAAAAAAAAAAAAAGATAAATTGTGACCGTGGGATGCTGCAAAACACTGTAAATATGGGCTCCTTGCCTAGTGCTTAAAATGTGATCATATGCCCACAAGGGAGGTCCTGGCCATTGGAACTTCGAATCTGAGTTGTAAGTTGGAGGGTCTGTCGTAACTTCAAAGTCACTAAACTACTGGTCATAAGTTGAGAACTACCTGAATATATACCAAGTTCACTGTATTTTCTTGGAGTATGTGTATGTTATGGTTCAGTGTTGTGAATGGATTGTTTCTAAGTTTGGGAGGTAAAAGGACTGATTGGATTCTGCTGTTATTAGATCTGAAATAATCAGTGATTTATGCTTTAGCAGCTCATTCTCTAGCTATCAGAGCAAAGAACATTAACTCAGAATGGCATTACATGCCCTCTACAGAACAGGATGTCTTCCCAGATTTTTTTTTCCTCATCAAGTTGGCAGTATAAATTCTAAACCCTTTCTCCAAGGCTTTCCTTTCAAAGTGAGTTTTCCTGTCAGAGAAGTATGGCTATGGTTTGTTGAGTAGGGAAATGGATCTATAAATTATATAAATAGAATAAAGTGTATTTATGGATTAACCTTATTTTAAAAAATATATCATTGAAGAAGATTTCATGAATGAAACAAATTATGTTTGAGTGTGGAGTCTCTTTTATATTTGTGTTTGGCTGTGTGAGGAATGAAGCTGTCAAGGCAGGAATAAGTGGTTCCTTAGGCCGTAATAAACAGCTATCTCCCACTCTGAAGGCCATGAAAAGAAAGGCCTTGTTGAAGTTCACAGGAATTATTGAAGATCAGATTGTTCCAGAAAGCTGTTACCATTGTGCTTAGTTGAATGTTTTGCACAAGATCATTTATTCTGATTTTGTATTATTATTTTTTGTGGGTGTAAGCTATGGAGAGGTAGTATATTTTACAGCAGTATATAAATAAATAAATAAATAAATAGTAACACACAGCTGGATTATTTTATCTATTCCCCCAAAGAGAACTAGGGAAACAATTTTCCTACACTTTAAAACTACATATATAGCCTGGCTACTGTTCTGGTGGTAATTAACCTCTTCTCCAAGATAGTCCACTTCATTCCCTTGCCATGGCTTCTACTATACCCTTGAGACAGTCGTTTTGTTCTTTCATCAAATGTTTTAGAATTATGACTTCTTTCATTATCTAATTTCTAATAGATGCCCAGATTCATGCCATCCTTTTTAGAAAGTTCTACTTCAACTATTACATGTAAAGATCTGTTCCTGGATAATAAAACAGAAATAACAGATGTGACCTTAAAATAATACCTTTGCTGCTATGTAATCGATCAGCAAGATAATTAGTCTGATAATTTCTCTGTGACTAAGTTTACTTATAATATTTTATTTATTTAAAGCCTTTATATGGCCACCCATCCTATAACAAACTCTGAGTTTCTCCCAGTATCTATTAAGTTCATGCTTTCCCTAACAGGCTACAGTCCATACCTTCTGCTGAACTTTCTGGCTCCTTCAATGATCAACATCTCTTAGAAGGCCCCTATTGACCATCAGGAAAAAGAGAACATTGGAAAGGAGGTGTTGTAAGGAATAGACTTGGTGAGGTGGGAACCACTTCTTGCCAGACTGACAAAGCTATTACATCAACTTTGTTTGGGGGCCTCCTAACTTCAAAACCAGGAAGTGGGCATCCATATTTCTGTTGACTTGGTGGGTGGAAAGGACAAAGAAGTGTAATACAAACAGAAGGGGGTGAGAATGGAGGGTAAGATATCTGTGCACTAGAACAGGCGTATCTTCTGAGTATATAACTGTCCTTATTTTTGTCTGCAGTCAAGCCATTAATCTAACCTTTCCTGAGTATAAGGCTATAGAGATGAGATTTATTATTGTATCTGGTCTGAAGCTTGACAGTTTGAACTGTTATGTTTTGAAAACCTACTAATACAATTACCTGCATGATGAGCCGAGGATCAATGATGTTGACATCCCAGAAACATGCTGACTCTGTGAAAGTGTGTAAGCTACCTAAGCACCTCTATATTGCAAAATTGCCTTTGTATTGAATATATTCATCTTTTGTTAGATCTTGTGTGATTAGTTAATTTACATGCTATTTATCTTTGCATTTTTTCATCCAAAAGTTATCTATTTAGAAAAAGCTGTTAATAGTTCTTTTTGTTAGGGAATACTTTTGAGTAATTCATTTTTAGTAGTCAATGACCAGAATAAAGCTCTGTCTAATTACTAAAATCTATTGTAGAAATTTTTGTAAGCTTATTTGTCCATTTTAGATTATTCCTAATACTGTTTCTTAGCTGGCTGATGAATTACGGAATTTGAAGTTTGCACATCTTAAAATTGCCAAGTTTAAAAATCATTGATCTAGATTCTAGATGGTATCCTTTAATGAAAGGTTTTTTATGCCTACAGTGCCAAATCATGGACCTCTTTCTGCTGATTTTCTAGATTTGTCTCTGATTCCTAGTATGCTTAAACTTTTCTGATAACCTTCTCAGCAGATATACTCTTAGTGTATTAAGAGGAACAACCATTTGTGTATGACATCATTGGGCTTTGCCAAATAATTTGATTTAAACTGGTTATTGTGACCCAATTTGTTTGATTTCATGATAGTTGGCAGTCCAAAGTAGACTTTAGTGATATGTTAACTAGATGTATAATCTACAAATGAAGTCGTAAACTAGAATGGGGCTATCGTAGTAATGCTGTTCAAGTAAGAATATATCTTATTGATAAAATATGCCTTATTCAGAACATCCATTCATCTACCTGTATGTTTTATTACATGTGTTCTTCTATACTCTATGTGTTCTTCTGATGTATCTGGAAATGCCTGATAAGTAAAATTCCTTTTTCTGAGCAGCTTATCTGAAAGTTACAGAAAAGCCATAGTTGTAAACAGCTCATCTAAATTATGCTACTTTGTACAAGAGGCGTTAGCAGTGGAGTGTAGGAAGAGAATGAAGATCAAAAAGCTTTGGTTGGTTAATAATAATCTGTCTGATCTGGCTGACTGGGCAATTAACAAAAATATTGTAGCAATAATATATTAAATTCGTATCCCGCCCAATTTCCAAAGACTTTGGGAAGAATTATTATTATGGAATATTCCCTATTTGAGTTTAAAAAGGAAAGCTCTATATGGATACATAGCTGATGTGGTGTTTTTTTTTGGTAATTAAGGTTATTGTTTTATCCTTGCACAAAATGGGTTGTATACTGTGATTTGTGTTTTAATCCTTGTGTATCTCCAGGAGTCACTGTTATGAGATGGATGGCCATATAAATAATGTAAATGAATAAATACATAAATCTTCATCTATGATAAACATACTGTGTAGGCAGAGCAAACAGTCAGCATTGGGTAATTGCCTCTTCCTTGTTTTGAAGTCAGGCACTGTGAATTGAGGGAGGATTGCAAAAGCCTAAAAGGTTTGCATGGAGTTTAGAATCTTGGATGGTACACAAATCAAAAGCAAAATGAAAATGATTGTGCTCCTTTAGAGTACAACTAAGTAGGATTCATGAAAATAATTCATAAAAATTATTTTGCCAAAGTTGCAAAACTTTAAAGCCATTTCAGCTTTATTGGACTTCAGACCCTATTTGGGAATGAGCAGCATACAAATCTGGGGGAACAAAATACATAAATACCTGTCCATCCATAAACTGTGGACTGTACAGTCAAAGAGATAGATTTCACAGTAGACATATGATACTATTCA